GAGCTTCGGTTTTTCGCGATGACCTCGGCACCCCTAAAACTCCTGGTAGATTGCAGGGCTCCGTTTCTGGATCCCTGCATCTCTAGCATCCAAGGCCCTTCTTGGGCCTTTCTGCTCCCGGATCAAAACGATGGCTTCTCTCGGGAGGATGGCCGAGCATGGGAAGATGCCGCCCCCATCAAGATCTAGGGGCCCTGAGCACTACGCGCAACTGGACCACGAGACCTCGTTGAAGCTCCCGAAGACCAAACGAGCCCATGAGGAGGTCACCCTAAACCCTAAACCCTAAACCCTAAACCCTAAACCCTAAACCCTGAACCCTGAACCCTAAATCCTATATGCATGGCTAGCTTGCTTCCCATGCTCACCTACCCCTGGCAATCAGGTGTCTCCATGTAGGGAGACGGCACTTTCGAGACCCTGGCGTCTTGGAGGCTTTTGGGAATCTTGGGTTTAGGGTTTAGGGTTTAGGGTTTAGGGTTTAGGGTTTAGGGTTTAGGGTTTAGGGTTTAGGGTTTAGGGTTTAGGGTCCAGGAAAGTACCACGCGCGCGCCTGCACGACGGCCCACACGGTGCTGGCAACCCGGGAAAGGTTGCAACAAGAGTCCAGAGCATCATGCTGGCTTGTCAGCCAAGACAACTGGAGGGAAGGTGACCAGATTGGCTTGCTCACCCTGTGCTGGGCTCGTATGCCATTGTATGCTCTCGGCATTGGACTACACCCTAACATGGATTAGGGTTTAGGGTTTAGGGTTTAGGGTTTAGGGTTTAGGGTTTAGGGTTTACGTAATCGTAGAACCTGAATCATTCCAAGTCACCTGGCCGGGGCTGGAGAGCAAAAACACTCTGAGACATCTTACTCTTGCCACAGCGACTGAGAGAGAACATCAAATAATATCCCAAGGGCCCACTCGAAACCCAGAACCCTAAACCCCAAAAAACCTAAAACCCTAAAACCCTACAACCCTAAAACCCTAAAAAACCTAAAACCTAAACCCCTAAACCCCTAAACCCTAGCACCCTGAACCCAAAACCCCTTGTCTTTTAGACCTCCTTCCCTCACACCATGGTGTCTCGTGCCGACGATGACTGGGTGCCTGCAGGGCCACAGGCGGCGTGCGGCGCCCAGCAAACTTGCGTCTCTATGACCCAGGGTCGACTAGCGCTTATAGGGCTTGGGCTTGGGGCTTGGGGCTTGGGGCTTGGGGCTTGGGGCTTGGGGCTTGGGGCTTGGGGCTTGGGGCTTGGGGCTTGGGGCTTGGGGCTTGGGGCTTAGGGCTTAGGGCTTAGGGCTTAGGATTTAGGATTTAGGGTTTAGAGTTTAGGGTTTAGGGTTTAGGGTTGAGGGTTTAGGACGGTTTACCGTTTAGGGGGTGGACCTTAAAAGGGTCTATATGGGTGTCAGAGCATAGGATTCAGGGTTTGCGTCTTGGGATTTAGGGGCTTGCAGCTGGTGGTATGCATGCCCTAATCCCCGGAAACCTCCCTGAACTCTGCACTAGAGCCACCTGCACCCCGCCGTGGCCCTGCCCTAGTGCAAAAGCAAGAGCATCGGGGAAGTCTGGCAGTTCCGGCCGCGAAAGGCTTAGGGTTTCGGGTTTAAGGGCCTCAGGGTCTAGCGGTTTAGCGGTCTCTACCTATTATGCAAGTGTTCGGCGGGTGTAGGATCTTAAGTTTAGGGGTGAGGGGGGTAGAGCTTAACTTCAGGGTCCTCAGCTACCTACTGTGTTGGGGGTTAGGCCCTACACCCCTCAACCCTAAACCCTAAACCGTCAAGACCGAATAAATGGAAATTTTTATGTGGTATCATTCTGAATTCTCCAATTACTTGTCTAAAAGCCCAGCTTAAGAGCTAGAGCAAGGCAGTTTAATACATAAGGGGTATATAAGGACCGGCTCCCAAACTAAGCCACCATGTAAGTACCTAAGATTGGAGGGAGGCGCTTAAGAGTAGAACTAAGCTTCATGGTCGCGACCGGCCCGAAGCCCGAAAACGCCCTCGAGGTCGTCGCAGACTGCTAGGGTTTAGGGCCTGGGGTCTAGGGTTTAGGGTTTAGGGTCTAGGTCAAATCCCTAAACCTGACGCTTGGGATTGGGTGGTGCAGAAACGCGCGCCCGAAGCTGCGACAGCCTCCTGGTGACGGGATTTTTGAGGGTCTAAGAGTTTAGGCTTCGAAGTCTACGGTTTAGAGTTTGGGGTTTTGGGGCATTCTGGGGGCCAGGGTTTAGGGTTTAGGGTTTAGGGTTTAGGGTTTAGGGTTTAGGGTTTAGGGTTTAGGGTTTAGGGTTTAGGGTTTAGGGTTTAGGGTTTAGGGTTTAGGGTTCAGGGCTTTCATTTAGGTGGTGCCACTGCTACCCCATGCAGCTGCAGTGCTGGGGCGGAAAAAGAAGCAAAACGAAAACAAGCTCAAGCTCGTCGGTGCGTCAGTCCAGCACGCACTTTTTAAACGTTCCGGGTGCGTATTTTCTTCACCCGAAAGGAGCAGCCAGATCTCAGGGGTTCGAACTCTCAGGCCCGGTTTCCTTAAACTTTTAACCTCACCACCGGCCCGTCCCTAAGACATCCCAGCAATCCAGCTTACCTGTTCTTAGTTCTTACCCTAAACCCTAAACCCTAAACCCTAAATCCTAAGTGCATTCGGGAACTCGGCACGCTGCATCCCCCTCCATAAGAAGGCTTCGATGGGGCACCTCCTTCCTTAGTTCCCTACTTTAAGAAGGGCCAAGTCCCTTCTGAACGCCAGACTCCTATCCCTGTCAGGGTTTAGGGTTTAGGATTTCGGGTTTGGAACCTGAGACCCTGAATCAAACTGCTGTCAACCAACCCCCCCAACCCCCCAACCCCTGCCGTGAGTACGGCTTAGGGTTTAGGATTTAGGATTCTCGCACTCCCGCCCCAAACCCACAAACCCCCCCCCCCCCCCCGGAGTCCCAAAAACTCTACGATCCCTGAGCCTTAACCCCCTTAGCAGTTCCTAACCTCTCCATTAAATCCTAAACCCTTCACACTAACCCTGAACCCAAACCCTAAACCCTAAACCCTAAACCCTAAACCCTAAACCCTAAAACCCTAAACCCTAAACCCTAAACCCTAAACCCTAAACCCTAAACCCTAAACACGGTAGGACCGGCCCCCTGAAACCGATGCTCCCCTCAGATGAATGAAGGCTCAAAGCCCCTGAAATTTCAGGGTTCAAGGGTTTAGGGTTTAGGGTTTAAGGATTAGGGGGTTTAGGGTTTAATGTTCAGGGTTCAGGCAGGCCCGGGAGGTTCGGGGGGTTTCGGGGTTTGGAGGTTTGGGGGTTTGGCGGGGAGGCTTGGGGGCTTAGGGGGGTTAGGGGGTTGGGAGGGTTGGGGGTTTCGGGGGGAGGGCAGGGTTATGCCAGTTTCTGTTTAGTCTTAGTAGGAATTCGGGAGGCACCTTCCCCTTTTATTGACCTCGGGTTCGGGATGGTGTAGGGCACCTCATGCACAACTCCTAGATTCGGGCCATGGGGGTGTTTGGGGGGGGGGGCAGGACGGGTTTCGGGTCTGGGCTTAGCTTCCACCCCGATAGTTCGATTCTGGCAGCCGGGGGCTCAGGGTTTAGGGTTTAGGGTTTAGGGTTCAGGGTTTAGGGTTTAGGGTGCCAGGGGCTTCGAGCTTAAAACTGCGCTTCAAAGCTGCCTGTACTACAGCTGGGCAGCTTCGTTTTGTGCAAGCCTCTTACGAGCAGCTTCAGGGTTTGCCAACAGGGCCTCTGATAGTACGAGTATAAAGGAAGCTCCACGCCTAAACATGTCTAAACCCTGAACCCTGAACCCTAAACCCTAAACCCTAAACCCTAGATCCTGAACCCTAAGTCCTAAACCCTAAACCCTAACCTCTGAACAGATCAAACTTCGGCCATCTCAGCAGCAATAACGTTGGAGCATCGCTTGGCGTTCGCATCTGCCTCCAGCCGCAGACGCCTGGGGCCCGGTTGATGTGCGGGTTTACGGTTTAGGGCCTAGGGTTTAGGGTTGGGGTCTGAAGGTGGGTCTGAAGGTGTGAATGCAGATTCATGGCTTAGGTTCCCGCCATTTGTAAGGTTGTTTAAGGGGGAACCTAGGGGGGGGGGTAGTATAGGGGGTTGTAGGGGAACCCATGACAGACAGACAAGCAGATATGTTAGAGCACACCAAGCACGAACAGGTCGAACAGTTCACCTACCTTGTGCATCAATGCATTGAGCTTGCAACCATCAACACTTAGCCCTACCTAGCTGAATCCCAAACACAACACCCTCAAGCCATCTATGCCCTATGCGGTTAAGCAGTTAAGGTTTTTGGGCTTCAGGCCTGGTACTACTAGGGTCAGGGGGTTGGGGTTTAGGGTTTAGGGTTTAGGGTTTAGGGTTTAGGGTTTAGGGTTTAGGGTTTAGGGTTTAGGGTTTAGGGTTTAGGGTTTAGGGTTTAGGGTTTAGGGTTTAGGGTGTAGCATTGGTCAGCTGAACGCAATAGTGTGAAGACATGCCCACCCCGAGGCCACCCAGACAATACTCATCACGAAACCAAACCGAAGCCAGCCACAAAACAGCCAGAGCCAGCCAATAAATAAAAAAAGCGAACGGTTCTAATGCAGATGGGGCGCTGCAAACCTTTAGCACGTGGACAGTCGCACGCCATAAGTTTGCAGGACGGCCCTAGTCTGGGGCAAACAAGTCGAAAATTAAGCCAACAATGGCAATGGCAGGGCGGTGTACGATTTCATGCAACCGAATGCACATGCTGCGGGACTCTCAGGCGCAGAAAGAGTAGCTTCGTTTTTGCGCAGGTGCGCGGACGACTCGAAAATGGCTATCGCGCTGGCTCTGTGCACCGCGCTTCACCTCTGTCCAAAGTCGATCTGCACACACTCGGACCGCCGCCGAAAGTGCGAGGTGCGACAACTGGGGCGACTCCTCGAAGCTTGTCAGCGAAGTCCAACCCAGGAAGATTGGGGGTATACAGGACACGCAGGAATTCGTCGCCCCTCATCGTTTACCTCGCAGGCAGGAAATGGTCCGCTGTGACACAGCCTCCCAACACGTAGTCGCTGTCCTTGCGGACACGCGACAGAGCCACATAGCCGGCAGCGGGGCAGCCTGCGCGGTCAGGCCAGAAAGTCACATGCGGGAGCTCAGCTCCTTGAAATTTATGTACAGTGTCCGCGTACCCTGGGCGGATAGGGTAGTAGGTGACACGGCCCTTCGGATGGCTATCGTCCGTCACGGGATAGATGCAAAGAACTTCCGATGTCTCCGTCTCCACGACGATCGCCGCCTTGAGGCCATCGAAGGACAGCACCGTGGCCAACATCCCGTTGACGAAGTCATGGCTTTTGTCCATATTCCGAGTCAGCCGAACTCGCAAGCCCTCGTAGAGCACGAGCGGCAGCGGCTCGGGCAGCACGTCTTCCCTGAGTTTGCCCGTGGCCTCATTGAAGTTGAGCGGGTTGCTCTCGTAGTCCGCAGCGACGCGCCCCAGTCGGGGCTGGCCCGGTCGTTCAAAGAGCACCTCCAGAGCGAGGAAGTTCACCAAGGCAGCTCCCCGCCGCATGCAGGTAATGATGGTCGTGGTGGGCGCCGTCACGGTCAGCAGAGTGGCAATGTCCGAGGCAGTCGGCTCATGGTGGCGGGACCAGGCCTTGTGGCGACGGCAAAGCTGTTCCCGCACGAAACGAGCACCTTCCATGCCCGTGGGCTTGTTCATACGCAGGAAGGCAAGTTTCTCCAGGAGGGGGTCATCACTGCCCTGGCGCCATACGCGATGGAGCTCAACCTTGAACACGAGCCTCCATTTGGGATGCCGCACCAAGCTGTGTTTGGTGTGGTCAGGTGGCGGGAGCTGCCACTCGTCTCCGGCGAACACCACGCACGGCACCCTGCCGGCTGCGAGCCACATCTCATGCAGCCGCTCGAAATGCTCTTCGAAGAGCTGCGGGGCTTCGTCCACGACGATGAGGTCGTAGGCAATCATAACGCCCATTGCCTCTGACAGAGGCTTGTGGAAGAGGAAGGCACCGTGGCAGGTGTCCAGGTCCGCCTCCGGGTGGCGCTGGCGCATCCGGGCTCTTTGCACTCCGGTGGGCAAGGCGAGCAGCACCCGGGCGCCGAGGCGCTGGGCTCTCCGAATGCAGCGATCCAACACCGCCGTTTTGCCGGTCCCCGGTGCACCGGACCCGGCCACCATGGACCCGTGCTCCTCCGCCAGACCCAGGAGCCGCTCGTACTCTTCGTCGTTCTCCTCGAGCCGGATCCGCAGCGCTTGGTCGACCCGCCGGTTGATGTTCTGCTCCAGCAGAGCTTGCTCAGCGGTGAAGACAAGATCATCATCCCGAACCTCCATGAGGCTGGCCAGATTTCGCTGCACGACGGCGGCCGCTGCAGTGTGCTGCAGCTGCCCTGTGAGGTGTTGCTGGATGAAGAAGTCCTGCGCAGCGATCATGCTCGTCACAGTGCTGATGTGAGCCTCGCGATGCGCCCGGACGGCCATATGTTCGCGAATGCGCGGCTCGCTGCGCCAGAGTTCGGGCGCCCAGTGCAGCGCGCACGCCAGAAACTGCAGCTGCGGGGGCACGAGATCCACGATATCCGGCACCAGCAGATCTTCCAGACGGCGGTAGGGCACGTTGAGCGCCATCCACTGGCCGTAATACTTGTCGTTCAGCATGGAGACCATTTCGGCTGCGATGATCTTCTCGCCGAAGGTCTCGTAGCGCAAAGCAAAGGTTTCCAAGCTGACGGACCGATCGCCACGCAAATATTCCTTGCGGATGTGCTCGAGGATGGCACCTTTGCTGTTCACCCTCCGTAGGTACTCCAGCAGCGTCATCTCGCCACGCCACGCCGCCTCTTCATAGAGCTGGACGTACTTTGGCTTCGGCTCCATGCCCGGGTGCGGGGCAACGATCGGCTGCATGGTCCCGCCCATGAAGAACATGGGGAAGGCTTGGTTGGCAAGGAGGAGCCACATCTCGGGCTCGCCCGGATGAAAGGTGAAGAGCACTCTCCGGGCAGCTGCGTAGGCGCTGCTGGAGTCGTCCATGAGCTCCTTGCCTGGGCCATCGCTGAACTTGGGCAAGCACGTGGCTGCATACTTGATCATGTGGCCGCCTCCGCGCCCAAGCTGAAGATCCTGGTGGCACTTGAGGACGTCCAGCACCTCCGGGATGTAGCCCCGCACGCCCAAGTGCTGGTCCAAGGCTGTGTGGTGAAGGCGGACGCCGTCTTGCCGGGGATCGCAGTCGCTGGGGCCTTCGTGTTGTGGCCAGCCGCTGCCAGTGCGCCCTGTCTGGCCGTCTAGCACATAGCCGCGCAGCGCATGACCGTCCTCTGGAATGGTGGCAGACACCTTGTCGTGTAAGTTCATGGGGGCGAGCCGCTCAGCGAAGACCAAGCCATGCAGGTGGACGGCGGCACGGCCATGGTAGTTTTGTGTGGCCTCCTTGCGTTTCCCGTCCTGGAACTCGAGGCGGCCGACAAAGTTGACCTTAAGACGACGGCCCGTGTCCGGGCAGGTGCCACCGAACAATGCCGACCGCCAGGTGGCAGACGCGTTGCCGGCTTTGCGGGCGCCCCCACAGACCCACTCACGGAAAAACTCGGTCAGCAGGTGGGCCAGGTGCAGGGTCTCCGGACCGGCGAGCTGCAGGCGCTGTCGACCCAGCTGGGCCATCTGACGAAGCAGCCACTCATGATATGGCGCCGACCACTCGAACGGTGCCCATGTCAAGAACGCCACAGGGAAGCCACACTGCGCCTGCATGTCCAAGGCCGCGGCGTGGCGAATCTTCCAATACTGCGGCGTCCAAGGCGCGCCCTTCATCACCTGCCACATGGGCGTTCCGCGCAAGGCCCCCTTCTTGCCGCCAACATCGGACCAGGTGGCGAGGTCGAAGACGAAGTGCACGAGCTCGTGGTCACCTGCGTAATCGGCGATGGGACCCATGGCCTTGGCCAGGAAGTTGCGTTTGAGGCTTTGCCTCGTCCCCGTAACAGCATCCTGCTCTGCGTCCGAGTCGGCAGGCTCGTCCGCGTCGCAAGCCCATGTGGCCCTGCGGCGCTCCTGGCGACGGATGTCGGAGAGACGCACGGTGGTTTCGCAGAGCTGTCGGTGCCAGTAGAGGTGGGGCCACAAGGCACACTCGATCGCTTCTTCTTCGATGTAGCGGAGAGGCCGCTTGCGCCTGTCATCTGCCGCGTGAGGATAACTTTCGAGAAAACGACGATGGCGAGCCACGAAGTCGCGGTAGGAAGAGTCGCCGCTGTGCATCAGGAACACAAACGCCTGCAACAGGGCAGCGCACGCGGCCTACAACGCAAGGACATCACACGTGCAGCGCGCGTGCGTAGAGCATAAGCAACAGCGGCGCCTCCCTGGCCACGTTGCGCTGCTGGTCATCTAGCGAAGAGATCTTGGATTCGACGTCCAGGGCCGACCAGGAGAGCCGCAGCATAGAACTATGGAAATAGTATCCATAGTCCGCCTTCCACTCGGGGCCACAATCGATATCAAAGGGTCGCAGTGCCAGCACCGCCTCGCGAGAAAGCCCACGAAGTGGCTCGGGCACTTCCTCTGGCCACGGAACCCAAGCGCCGGTCCCAGTCGGCTTGGAGCAATTCTTGCACTTCTGGATCAATGCATTCGGGAGTGAGCGGGTCGCCGACTCCTTCAAGTGCTGGGGTTGCACGGAGCCACACAACGAACAAAGACCCCAAGAGGCGTGCTTGCACCAGGCCTCGAGGGCCACTGCAGCGGGGCTGGTCGAGGCCGAAGGGAGCCCCGTGTCGTTGGGCGCCACATCCCTGATGCGCGCGCGCAGTGCCTCCGACATAGGATTACGCCACGGCCACCCGGCATGTCGGACACGGCGTAGCCGCTGAGGGAAGAACTTGTGCTGCGCGTAGCTGCGGTCCGCTTCCACGAGCGTAGTGTACTCCGCCAGTTCGTCCGGAGTTGGTGGTGCCGCAATCGAAAGACGCCAAGCAAGCGCCTCTTGCTCCTCCTTCGACCTTGCGTCAATTTCTATCACATCGGGGCTGACCTCGCCGATGCGTGCCAAGGCCGCGTCGTAGACACCCTCATCGAGGGCGTGGAGCGCCTCGGAACTAGGCATGTTTGGGGAGCATGCTATATCGAACGAGTAACAGGTAGTTAACCAGCCCAAGGCACACGCAGCATCCGAATCACCTGCTGCCTGCCACTGGAGGAGGCGACCAACGTCTCCAGACGCTCCAAGTCGCAAAAAAGACACGCAGCGTGGGCGTGTAGATTCACAGGTGCGGCCGCACGGCGTGCGTTGAAAACGCAACTCGTGCCAGACATGCCGGGGCAGATGCGAGGCATGGCTCGTTCAGTTAAAGATACGGGCGCACAAAGAACCGACTGTTAGAGTCTGCAGTAGGTGAACAGAGCGAACAGAAGTGACATGGCGTTGCACGTGTTTGCAAGAGCCCAACCCAGCAGTTCGGCACGAGCACTTTTCCTGAATCAAAATTCAGAACGTCAGTTAGAGTCCTGCACCACTTGTGGGAGGCGCCGTCCGGCGACACTCTTGGGGCCGTACTTGCTGGGTCTGAGAACTTGGTAGGCCATGATGATAGAGGATGATGCGCTATTACAGTACTAGTCGCGAGTCGTGTCCGTTCTCACTATAGTATTATTGCTGATGAGTGCTACGCCGACCTCGCTCACTTTCCATAGTCGGGATTCCAAGGGTCGGGCGCCGCGGTCGCGCGGCCGTCTGGCAACAGAAGGAAGCCACACGGCAATCAGTCGCCTCTCAATGATCCCAATGCTCCTACCTCCCAAAGTTCAAGTGGCAAAACCCAAAGCGGCAAAATTACCCAGGCCTGGTTCCTCGTCCAAGGCATGCAGTACCTAGCTGCACGGGACATGCTCGCGCAGCCCTAATCATGCGCATCACAGTCGAGGCAGAAAAGTAGAGGGACTGGACACTGGATTGCGGCCGGATCCCCAATGTCGCCGTCGAGCCTGAAGAGTCGAGAGCATCCAGACCGTCCAGACCTCAGAGACACATCGCTACGATTGCCCAATGCTGCTACACAAGTGGCTGCAAAGGAAGGTCATGCGTGGCCAGGTGCTGCCTAGAGGCGGAAAAAATGAGATGAAATTTAGCGTTTCGTCCAAAACCTCCCGCGGCAGGAATCAAAGGCCTAAGTTCAAAACTCGAAACGTTTTCCAAAACAACATCTAGCATACTTACCCGCAGGAGGTTTTGTAGGGAGACTGCGTCCCAACCTTAAGGAAGCGAAAAATCGACACAAAAACGCCCAAAATAGATAGCGAAAAAACGGGCCGTGAGGAGCAAAATGGCACGAAGGCAGGCGAGGGCAGGAAATCCGGGATCGCATCTTGCTGATTCGTCTAAGCATGGCTATTGAATCGTACAACCGTGGCGCCGCAACCAACGCAGAAAACACCCAAAAAACGCGGGTTCTGGGCCAGCAAGCGGTTTTTGGCTGCTGCGTCGGTTTAGGAAAACCGTACAAAACACCTGCGAAAACGCAGAAAACAAAACGGACCACGCACCCAAAATTTCGAATTTCGGCGTCCCGGGGGGGCCCCGGGACAATTTCCTGGGGGCGTCCCGGGGCGTCCCGGGGGGGCCCCGGGACAGCTGTCCCGGGATTGTCCCGGGAGGGCCCCGGGACATTTGTCCCAGGGGGGCCCCGGGACGCCCCGGGACGCCCCAAGACAACCTGTCCCGGGGGGGCCCCGGGACAACCCGTCCCAGGGGGGCCCCGGGACAACCCGTCCCAGAAGGAAGGGAGGTGCTTGCCGCTCCCACTGGGAGGGTTTCAGGTCGCTGGAAGGTACTGAAAGGGTTTAAGGTCACTGCTTACTGGGGGTTTAAGGCCTCCCTTACTGGGAGGGTTTGAGGCAGTAAAGGGGAAGGAGCCCCCCCCTGGGGTTTAGGGTAATAATATATAGCTGAGACGAGCTAGGCGACTCCAGCCAGGCGACTCTCCTCAGGGGTGTGCCTGGCAGGCTCTGCAGCCTAGCAGAGCCTGCCGCGGTCTCGCTGAGCGCTCGACTGCGCCCGCCTACCCCAACAGAGGTGAGAGGGGTGGCGGGCGGGTTTAGGGTTTAGGGTTTAGGGTTTAGGGTTTAGGGTTTAGGGTTTAGGGTTTAGGGTTTAGGGTTTAGGGTTTAGGGTTTAGGGTTTAGGGTTTAGGGTTTAGGGTTTAGGGTTTAGGGTTTAGGGTGTAGGGTGTAGGGTGTAGGGTTCCAGGGGTTAGGGTTTAGGGGTTAGGGGTTAGGGGTTAGGGGTTAGGGGTTAGGGGTTAGGGGTTAGGGTGTAGGGTGTAGGGTGTAGGGTGTAGGGTGTAGGGTGTAGGGTGTAGGGTGTAGGGTGTAGGGTGTAGGGTGTAGGGTTTAGGGTTTAGGGTTCAGCATCTCATGTTCGAGCATTTACTAGGCCAGCAGTGTGTGTAGGCAACGGAAAAAAACCCACCCACCCAGAGAATCCCAAAACATTAAGAAAATAGAAAGTTTACATTTCTCATCAGCAAGCCCTGTCCTC